AAAACAAAAAAAGTTAACAACAATACACATTGCAATGATAACACTAGAGCTGGTGTTATGGCTGCTGTTTTGGGTGTTGTTTTTGCTCTACTTATCAATTTTACAGTCGGACAAAATCAACAACGCATAGTTGGAGGAAATATTGGTTGGACAATCGTAAATGTTTCGTTCTATAGAGATTGGGCTTCCCGCCAAACCTTTCGGGTCGGAGATATCACAACAAACGAATTTCGATACACCGATTCATACATTTCATTTATGTTTTCTCGACTTTTGTACTAGCTAATGTCATGTGGACCTAACTAAATGCAATGTCATAACCTTAACTATACTAAAATGCTAAGAAAAAATGGAACATCATATTATATACCGTGTAATTATGCATTTTTGTTTGCAGAAAATATATGATTTCCTTTTATTTATTTATTTATTTATGTCGAATAATTAATTCATTTTGGACAATTTTCAACTTTACGACCAACTTTCACGATGTGGCTCAAGTGTCTCGAGACGCGTACAATCGTTGCTCGTTAAACGCCACCATCGGTAGCCCTATCACGACGGGCCCCGCTAACATCACCCACCCTCAACTCCACCGGCAACCAATACTACATTTGCATCTTCGGAACCCACTGCGCGCAAGGAGGACAGCGGCTCAGTCCTCAGCAACTCCACCAGCGGCGGCGCCAGCCCACCGGCCGCCAGTCTGCCGGCGGGCGCGCCTCCGGCCACGACGCCGGGAGACAGTTCTCCGGCCCTTCCCACCGCCCCGTCGGCGCAGCCGCCGGTGACCCCTGGGCAACCGGGTTCCGGCGCCGGTTGGCCGGAAGTTTCTTTTTTGTTTTGGTGTCTGCCGGAGTGGTTCTGGCTGTCTAATATTAACTCCTCGTTTTCCTCCTTTTTTTTGTTTTAATGGGCGGTGGTGTTGTATTTAGCAACCGTTGATATGTGAGTTGTATTTAGTGCGCACAGCACATTTCTGATATGTGTGTGTGGAAAATATTTTAGTTTGCGAATTATAAAAAGACTGCTTTCGTTTTATAGCTAAGCAGCGAATGCAAAAGTAAAAGATAACCATCTTTTAAAAATTATGAATAATAGTTATTTTATTATTTTATTTTGTTAACACAATTATCCTTTGATAAAGCTATAATGGAGCGAGCCTAAAATAGCATTATTAGGTTCGGCCTGACAACCTACAAGCCTAGACAAAACAACTAGACAAGGGGAAGAATGACCCGGACGAGCTAGAGACCGAAAGACGAGTTGGGTAATTAAAAGTACACATCTCGACCTACGAAACCTCAGGCGACCTGAGTACTAGGACGACCTAATAGAGAATTCACAGCTCAACTGGGTATTGCCATCTTGACATGACTACCTGAAATGATATGTTCATAACGACCTAATGACTGACCTGAATAAACAAACAGACTCATGGAATAAGAGGGAATCTAATGTATATAAGAATGAATCTAATAATGGTAATTAGGACATGATTAGGATGATGATAAATACTAAATAAATAAGACCAAATCGGACAGTGAGCAGACTGACAACAGACAGTCAGGCAATTTCGGTACACTATTTCGAGTAGGTATTCACACATAAAAGGGACTGTGGTACAATTGCAAACTCACTACACAGTCTTTATAATTATCTATTTACAGAGCTTATCATCTCCACTTTCTCCCCATACTAACTTGTGCGTGAGAATGCTAATGTCGGAAACCCTTCTGACCCTTTTGCAGGTCATCTTCAGCGGTTCAGGTAGATCGAAGCTTACAACTTGCTAGTTCAACCTAGACCCGAGTCCCCGGCACATCATTTGGCTTCGTCTGTGGAGAAGACCTAATTCAAAATTTTAGTTTGAACAGTTGAGATGCTGGCTAAAATAACTAGCTGATTCCAACTTTAAACAGCTTGCATGCTAGGTTGGGCAAGGATTGTTGTATGCGCGATCCGAAAGTCAAAGCCCACGTGAAAGATATGAAGGCCCTGGCCCAAGAAGTGATCCGATCCATCAAGTATGGCATGTTTTCTGCCGGTCCCCCTACGACATGCCTCAGTGTCGATCTCTTAGAAGATCTATTTGTCTATCTCTATCTCTCTGCAGAATGTGAGCGTTTTCTTACAAACCAAACCAATAAAGCCCTCGAAATTGGTAAACACCGCCTAATTGGTCTTGTCATAAAGAATCAAAATGCACATTATATCCTCAAAAGTCAAAATTCAGCATGGCACCACACGTCGATCACATTGCTGGTAAGGTGGCAAATTGCCATAATTGTATTTTTGCCTTCTTCCACATATAAATAAGGCATGTACGTGGCACCTCATAAACAACAACACAGCAATACGAGATAACACCACAAACAACAAGTTCAAGCACAAACATAAGAGCTATCATTGTAATGAGAACTCTCAATAACCATTTTTTTTTTTTTTNTCATTGCCGATCTCCCAACAGATCGACAAAATCTTGTGTACTCCTCGTTTTAGCATTTTTTTACCCATTACAGGTTAAAATAGCATCTAGTAGCATATTATCAATATAATTAAATATATCAATTTTTAATTCACTGTATATCAACTCACGTATTTATAATTATCTATCTTTTCAATAACTCTCTTACTCTTTACATTAAATTACATAAACTTTAAACATTACATTGTAAATATTTTTTAAATACAAATTCAAAATCACACCTAATCTTCCACTTAATCAGATTTATTTAAAATTAGCTCATTTTAGCTAATAAATCCAATTCAAATTAATTTTATTTATATTCAATCGCCGCCAAAATCATATCAACGCAAGAGTTAAATTGTACATAGAAGAGTAGTAAGTTTGGGGGAGTCCTCATAGCACCGCGGACAGTCCAGGGACTAAAGTCCAAATAGACGCCTCCAAACATAAAAAAATCTAACAAGCAATACTCGTAGCCTCTCGTGTGGAGTTGGATTCCACACAGACCTTTACCCCATCTGCTCCGCCGCCGGCCTCGTCACCATCGCCGCCTTGGATCTGGTCGAGCGCGAGGACCAGCCCCATGGCGAAGGCGCCGTCGAAGCCTGGCTTGACCGCGAGCAGGAACACGTCCTTTCCGAGGACCACGTTGGTGGTGGTGTCGACTTTCCGGCGGATCTCGGCCACCTCCTCCTTGTCGGCGTTGAGGATGGTGCAATTCCGGCAGGCGAAGGACCCCTCGATCTGGTACTCCCCGCCGGGATTGTAGACCTCCACCGTCATGCCCGACCGCCCTATTATCGACGACCGCCGCACGCTGAAGAGCGGCTTCTTCCCCTCCGCGCCCTCGCCGGCGTAGCCTTCCCACCTCTGGTGGAGGCTCGGTCTCTGACTCGGGATTGATAAAATCAGTGAGTTGACTCGTCGAGTTACGATTTGTGCATATAATTTATCATTTCAAGGACTCGCTGAGTTGACTCATTTGATATTTCAATTGACATCGAGTACAGTAAATAAAACTAGTTTTTCATGAGAAAAAACTGAAATCGAAATCGAAACCGAATAAAATGGAATTCCTCAGCCAATCGATTACTACCTTGCGGCGGACGGTGAGGATGCATCTGCCGGAAGCGTCCATGAGAACGAGCTCGCCCGAGTCGCCGGCGTCGGGGCCGTACGAGTCGACTCGGAAGACGAGTTCGCCTCTCGAGTCGTGGGCGGTGAAGCCATCGCCGGCGAAGAAGAGCGAGGTCTTGAAGACGGTGAGGTGAGTTTCCTCCTCGTACACGTACGCGTCCTCCACAATCGCCATGATTATGCGAGCTCAAATCTGAACAATTATAGATGAGAATGAGGGCAAAATTAGATTCTGTTTTCCATTGTCGATTTGAGAGAAATGCGAGTTCATATATAGTGCTGGAGTGAGAAAGCTCAGTTAAAGATTTTTTATTTTATTTAATTCTATATTTTAATTGGAGTAACTGACTGGACAGTGTTTTTTTAAGTGATTTTTATCAGTAATGATAAGGAGCCAATTGTTGGTTCCAGAACCAACAGTCAATGGGACTGTCCCACATGACTTTAATGTGGGACAGCTTACATGGAACTGTCTCATTGGTTGTTGGTTCCATAACGAACCAACAGTTGACTCCTTAGCATTATTGTGATTTTTATAGGCAAAAAAAAATTATAGAAAGATGTGAAACTTATTAAATTAAATGAGCCTCAATTGCATTTGCACCTATGATAACGCAAGTAAAAAGGAGCACGTGGTGCTCTTTCTCGTCAACTATAAAATTTATTTATTTCATTTTAATTTATTTTATATCTATCTATTATATTGAAAAAAAATATATCTGGTGTAGTAAAGCGTGAGAAAATATATTTTAATTCATCAATTATTCAATCGCATTGCTTACACTTGAAGTAACTGTTTATAAAGATGAATTAATAAAATTTATATGACAGAAATTCGCATTCTGTACAGGTTTATAAAGCATAAGAGATTGGCATATAGAACGAAAAATACAATATCTAGAAAGTTTCACACAAACATGATAGCGGTATATTTGTCCAAGCATAATATCTCTTTCAGTTAATATAATATTGTGCCTTTACGTAAAGCCACAATCAATAAGGCAATAAGATTGAAAACTTTAATAAGAGCTGGGGAATTATTGGAACAGATTATGGAATCAAATGAAAACTTTCCAAAAGATTGCTCCTTTTTATACCAAATGATACAATTTTACTAGCACAAATTCTTTGAATAACAGTAAATGATGAATGGGGTGAAATGGGATATATGACGTTGAGTGCACTAAACTATGTTAGAACACGGTATTGCTGTAATAAATTGTGAGTAACATCAGAATAAGTAGAATTGCGGAAGTACAAACAAGGGATAAAAACTTTTCGGGGAGTGTCCACTACCCCTCAGAGATTTTTCATTAATAGATCAATTGCGTACACTCGTATAGATTTTTCATTATAAAAATTACTATAATAAAACACATGTAAGTCGAACAAGTAACAAATGACATTCTAAACTATATAATAATATATATCTTTTGTAAAAAAATAATTTTTTTTATTAATTTTAAAATTTAAGAATAATTTTTTAGCAAACATCCGTGTAATACACGAGTGTTGTACAAGTAGGGATTTGTTGATCAACAGCCAAGTTGAACATCGTATTCTTTTGGACTGTAGTTGGCAACGGGACATCAGCACCCAGCCCAATAGCATGCAATAGCCCAATAAGAGTTTGCACCATTTAAAGCCCATCCCTAGCTGAATATTCGAAGGCACGATGGTTATTGTGCCAGTCCACCACTCCACCTGATGATAAAACAAAGTTGAGACTTGAGAAACAAACTTTATTATGGTCATGACATGATTTTATCGGTTAAATGAAAATGGAATTGCAAGATCGAGTTGTGATTGGATATAATTTTATTTATCAGCTAAATTTTATCATAGGAAAATTGAACATAAAATAAAAAAATTCCAAAAAATACTATTCACTTTATCTATTTTTATGTGTAAATCTCGCTAATACATTTTAAAAAATATTATTGATATTTATATATTTATTTTGAGAAAAAAAAAATATTGTTCATCCATTCCGATATTACTAAGTACCAATTTTATCACTAAATATTTATTATTTTTATATCAATTCAACTCATGCGAGTATTAGAACTTTGAGTTTCTTGAGGACTTATGTGGTTTTTTATGCCACAAACTTTGAGACGGTGAAGAAAAAAATCTGAATTGCAGATTTTAGAGTACTTGGAAGTTTGTTGATAGTGAGGTCAAGTTTTTTCTATTTTCCTTGTCTTCAGAGGAGTTATAAACTTCCTCTTTCTCACACAAAAGATATTTAATTCATACATATTTGTCATTTAATGTCCTTGAAAGATATTCATCGAATGTTAGACCAAATTTTGTGATTGTTATATATATACATATTCTATCTTCTTTTATGTGAACCTCATCACTCTCAAACAATCTTTTAGCTAATCCTAGAAAAATTTCATCTGCCAAGTCTCCTTCAACAAAGGTTTGCTATTTTTTTCACATTTGATAATAACTTTTTGATGACTTGGCACAATTCTTGTTCATAATTTCCTAGATTTCTCAAAAGGGTTGTTTCAGATTATTCTAGTTTTGATTTATGTCTGGTTAATATTAAACCTGTTGAATTTGAAAATGGGTGTTGTCATAAATTTTCCCCTGTAATAATATATTGTTAGCTCTTAGTTATCCTATTCTGTTACAGTATTGTTTTAAGAAAAAATTGTGTAGTTAGTACTTAATTCATAAAACTATGTTTTACTATGGTTGTTCAATTGAATTAGTAATTGCACAAACACAATGCTCATTTATTTTCTTCTGCTTCTGACTTGTAATTAGTGCTGGAAGGAAAAGTAGGTTATACTTGTGGATTGATTAATCAATTAATTTAATTTTTATAGCCAGACAACAGAACAGAGTACCAACCTTGTGGAAGGTAAATGGGGTTCCTAACATGTGACTATCAGTTATGATATTGTACAATCCATTAAGGGGCAGGTACAACAACCTGTTTGAAAGAAATGAAGCTAAAAAGCCCACAAGTATTTGCAAAATGCTCAACACAACAAATTTTCAAACCTGGATTTCATTTTCATCTAACTCATCCAAACATGCATTGATGTCTTGACATAGCTTAACAACATGAACACAAGGAACTAAAACAAGATTACCTGTTTGGTACAACACTAAAGCGAAGATCAATCATTCGAACCTTTCGCCTATCTTACTCGACACACCTTTTTACTTCGAAATTCCCCTTTCACCAATCAAGTTTTCAGCCAAAACGAATCTCTAACCATTTTTTTTTTCTTTTTTTCTTTCATTTTGGAGAATTAAAGATAGGTCCGATTTATGGCACAGTATTAGACGACGAGCCTTCGATTTTCTTGCTGTCCACATACTTTCCTGCAAGGGAATCGAACAGCATACCAGCCCCAACACCAACTGCCAGGTCAATTGTGTAGTGACCTCTTGTGGTTAATAACCTCACAACTTGCAACACATTCAAGAAGTCGAACGCGAAAGCCAACTCCCATCTTTGCATGCGTTTCATGTCTAACGATGCAATAACTGAGGCAGCCACATGACCCGAGTAGAACAGAAAAAACGAGACATTGCCGACCGGAAAATCTGCACCCGAGCCCAAGAATTCCTGGATCAAGAAATTGAATAATTTTATTCCTGTACCAAACAATTACATAATAAATATGCTGAAAACAACCAAAATGACAAGTTACTATTTAGATATCGTTTATTAAAGTGATTACACAATCAAAGAGAGGTGCCCACTTGTTAAAGTTTTGAATTTTTTTCTTCTATACATTAATACACCAACTTGCAACTTTTATCCAGTTTTTACAAAGTAGTTGAACTAAGATTCAGCTAAACTTTAGGTGCACTAATAAGATAAACTATACATCATGTGCTGTGGTCCAATTTCCTTTTTTTCTTATATTTTTTTTTCTAAATAATAATAACAATGGTGGTAAAGGGAAACTCTATAATTCTTTTCTCTCTTATAGGGACCACTCAAACTCAATCACACAGATTAACAATATTTAACTATTGTATACATAGTAAAATGTACTATACAATACTAGAGTATTGAAGATGAAGTAATAAATGAGAACCTCAGGTAATGGCAGCTGTGTAGCATATCCAAGAATTCCCCTGCACGTGAACATGAATAATGCCGAGATTGTTGCTCTTGGCCGCCCTTCAACTATCCATGTCCACAGGATATACGCCGTTTGCATCGCCACAAAAACCTAATACCCATTCTAAAGATTAGCAAAAAATCATTTTTTTTTGGGGGGGGGGAAATAATTCCTTTAGTTAATCTTGATGTGAAAACATTCAAATGACAATCGCTACTGTTTGTTAGTCATTCATATTTTTTCAACATATTTGTATACCTTTGTCATATTTTAAAAATCCATACCCACAAAATATGCATTTTTCAGTAAAAAATATATATATATGTCGGTCGACACGATTAAAAATCATACTTGAACAAACAACAAGGGAAAATATGCTTTTTTTGTTAAAAAAAAAATCAAAAATGAATGTGGGTCTGCAAGAATTCGTATTTTATTAATGCTTGCTTCTTTTCAAAACGTAATGCTTAAAAAAACAACACAAACAAACAAAAGTATGCATTTCTATTAAAAATATATGATGGGTCAACCCAATTAAACACTAGCAATCAAGAATTTGTGTGAATTTGAGTATTATAAAAGCTTGTTCCTTTTCGAAAATGTGTTGATAACACAGCTAGACAATATCATACAATTGCAATTATTTGGTATCAAATTCCAATTAACTTTCCCAATTCCAACAAAATATTGAAAATTTATTCAAGAAAAGTAAATGCATGTGAACCGTCCAAAAAAGGCATCTTTTTTTTTTTTTTCAACCCTTCACACAAAACACATGTTCTCACACGTACGCCACCCCACATCCAATCAGATCCGCGCACCCACGAAACTTACCGTGTTGAGGCCGGCGAGGAGCGTGTTAACCGCTGGTCTGGCGGCGAGCATCCGGTGAAGAGCAGCGGTGGCGGCGAATCCCAGATCGAACGGCGGGGCCACCGGCGGGACCATGGCGAGCGTGTACTCGACCGCCATGAAGAACAGGACGCAGGCGGCGAAGGCGCAGGGCACGGGGTGGCGGCGCGGCAGGCCGAGCGCGTCCCCCGCCGTCCATCCCAGGAAATGCGGGTTTCCGGCGGTGAACGGAGCCGCCGACGGCCTCTTCCTCATCGATTGATCCTCGGCGCCGCTGGGGAAACGGCCGTTGGCTTGCGGTGGCGGCGCGTGTTTGTTTCTGGGGGAGGAACGGAGGCGGGGGGTGGGGGTTACGGCCATCGGCGGCGGGGGTAGGCGGTGGCTGGGCTGTTCGATTTTCCGGAGATTCGCATGGTGGAGATTATTAATAGGAGCGTGACGAAGTTTGCGAGGCTGTGTTTATGTGGGTGGATTTAGAGAGAGAATTTGCAGAGTGGGGTCGTTTGGGGAGACGATACAAATAACTTAACATTTGGTACCCATTTTGCTAATATTAAAATAGTGGTGCGGGGTTTGCGTATGGGATTGAACTCTTGTAGCCTCGTACATGAGACTAGGTATTCCAATGTTACCCTTCCATTCATCTAAACATATTAAAATTGAATATTCGACCACCACCATCATGTTGTTCATCTACCATTAGTGAATATCAAAAATTCATATATCATTTTAAATCTCTCCACTCGATATATCCAACGACATTTTCAATATGATACTAATATCTTTCTTAAATCATTATTAGAGTTTTGAAAAAATTAAAGAATTATGCAGTAAATTATTTTGGAATGTCATCGGAGATCCGATCGTTGGATATTTGTGAAACTTATATGTATAGAAAGCCCTTTTCATAATAAATTTAACGGTATCTCCAGATCTCCGATTAGACCTTTAAATGATCAGAAAAACACAAGTGAAGTTCAATTTTCATATTTTTGGCGGTGCGCGGCTACTGAACGGATACTTCAACCGACGGTTTCTGGCGACTCAGTTGTGCAAATTTGATGGATGGACTCTCATTTTGCTCCTCTTTTTATGGGAAACAATAAGCATTAATCAATTTGATGTATTAAAATCATATGAGCCTTCAATTCCAAATTGTATTTTTCAGCAAATTTTTCATATTTTATTCTTAATTTAATGTTATTTTCTGGTTGGTACAACAACAGATTAAGTGAAAACTTTGAGTGTTGAAAGCAAAAATAAGATAAAATTAGGTTACCAGATAGGGGAAAAAAACATTAGTTTTTAACTAAGAATAATTTAGTAATGAGTTTTTATTTAAGTATTAAAGAAGTAAAAAGACGTGTGTCATAATTTCAATAGGTGCATATTGTCGTATATGTATGAGGCATGTACGAGCAGTCTTGATGGTAGAATAACCAAAAATACAAATGAAATGAAATCTTAAGTTTTGGAATTCTTAAAAAAAAAAAATGAATCTAAATCTTAACTGTGAGGCTCAAGGATTCAAAATATATGGAGTATTTATTAATTTCTTTCTTTTTTTTTTAATTTTTGCTGAGGACATTTTTTGCTACGAATAAACTAGTGATTTCATTAATAACNCGGTGCATTTTTCTTCCAAAGACTTCCATCATATATTACTTTAGCTCGGTGCCAATGACCAAAGTAAGGGAAGGGAAAGAAAATTCATGTTTAGGTGGCCCCTTTTTTTTAGGTGTCAAAAGTCTGCTTAAAAATGTCGGAAAGGAGTAATGTTACGTTGACAACTTAGTATACAACTAAGTTGACAACACAATTAGAAACATTCAAAAAAATAAAAATAAAAAAATACACAAATGGATGTTTTCACTTGTGTTGTCAACCTAATTGTACACTATGGTGGTAATGTAACATTTTTCTTCTTACATACTTTACTTTTTTCAGCAAGTTGCATACTTACAAAAGAATCAAATATACACACTACACAAAACCAGACACAAACAACTCAAACGACCTACAAATCAAACGAGGCAAGCTGAGCTCGAGTTCCTAATACTTGAGCTTGAACTCTAGCCATTATTCTGGTTTGTTTATCAATATGAATGACCCGAGCTCGGACTTTAATGAGCCGAGCTATTAAAAATTAAAATTAATAACACAACCAACAAACCTTTCCGATATCCATTATAAAAAACTAAACCAACCCGCAACAAGATAAAATGAATTCCANACACAAAAAAACACACACACACACACACATATACTTGAATCCTTGAAATTGTAGTCCTTTTACTTGAACCAAATAAATAAAATCTGACAAATCCCAACATTTCAAAGGACCATAATGTAAACTATTCTGCCACCTTCAGTATTTTTATCAACACTTTCACCTTATGATTTTAACTTCCCACAACATACTACTCTACATACACCAGTCTAGCCTGATCCTACTACATCACAGCTCTTTCATATTTTTTTATTGTTATTTTCATTTTACAGACTAAGCCCCTACTACACCAATCAATGGCAAGATAACTTATCAGTGGGTACAACAACTTTACCCGACACTATCTCGAAGACTGGTCTTGTGAAGACCCGCTTTCTGGCGGTGGCACTGTACCCCATTTACCTTCAGTTTCTAACGGCTCAAGCACGTGCACGCTGCCATCTGTCAATCCTAACGCGAATTGATTGGGTTCGGATGGATGAGCTGTGATGACCAATGGATGAACTCTCGAGCTGTAATTAGAAAAAAAACAGTGTGTGAGTTATTGGTATTTTTTTTTCTCTTTTTTTTTTGTGTTTTTGTTTTTTGGGTTGTTGTGTGTACCTTGGATTAGAAGGCAAATAGGCTGTGGGGTTTACTCGGCACCTGAGCTTTAGGCCGGCGGAGGTGAATACGCACACGCTGCCATCATCGAAACTCGTGTAGATCAATTGGCTGTCGCATGAGTATGTGGCGTCTGTTATTGCGGGACCTGACGGGACCCACTGCCCACCAAATTGTCAGTTGCGAAATTTTTGATCTTTCTACAATAACATGTACTTTTTTTGCCTATTTCATATGCTTGTGCCTAAACACGAGTTGTACTTGCAAATTGTGGCGTAGTTTGATGTTGTTATGCAAAAGATTTATATTTGCAACTTTGTGGGGGTAAAAAAAAAAACACAAAAGATGAATGCAAATATTAAAGAGGAAATATCTATTTTCGCCCCGCTCTGAAAAATAAATAAGTTTCACACACCGCTCGATAAAAAGTTCACTTTTTTGAAAAAGTGCGAAAGCATCATGCGGTAATTATGCGATTGACATTATGCAAAAATTCAAAATGCAAAGGCATTTGCATAACCTTTGCACTTTCTAATGTGAATATGCGACAGTTATACGACTGATATGTGATAGTTATGCGAACCATTCGTATAACTTTCGCATTTTCTGGGGCATTTTCTGGGTGAAAAAATTATATTGTTAGTTAGCGGGGTGAAAAACTTAATGTAATCTTCAAGTCGGGGTGTAAAAGAAATTTGCCCAATATTAAATATATGAATCGAAGTTTTGAAGGAAAAGTGATGTTTTCATAATTAATGATAAGAAATTTCTAGTCAAATACCTGCTTGATGCATTCTAATTTGGAAGCTTCATACACGGCTATTTGCGTCTCGTGAACGACTAACACGTGGGTTTGGTCTTGATGAAATTGAACACGAGTCTGTGCCAAAGGATTAGAAGAGCGGCCCGAAGGAATCTGCAAGAACTTATTTGCCTTCTTTTCCCATCCATCTAGACTCCACAGACATATCTGCAATGCATAACACAAGATACAAGGCAAATTGTAAATCATAACAGTAGAAAAAAAAAACCCGCTAAAAACGAGAGAGATCTATTTTCACATATAATGACCATATTCACTTGAGATATAGACTACTAACAAATCCAATTATCTTTCAAAATTATAATTAAAAAATTTTCCAGGTTGTGAATTTATATACACGAACAAACTTTTACCTGAGCATCAGCTCCTGATGATACAAGAACATCTAGCACGTTGGAGAATGCAAGCCCAGTTACTCTCTTCTGATGACCTTTCAGCTTAGTTTTTACCTGTGACCCACACAATGATATCATCAGAGATAGGTCAAAGTCAAAGGCTGCGTTTCGTAAGCATATAAGCTATCTTATAGCTTGTTTGATTAGCTTATAAGCTTCCTGTATTCAAATAAGCTTGGTTTGGTCTCGAGCTTATCTCATAATCTTCTTCCTTGGGTAGCTTTTCCATTAAGCCCATTGAATTTTTATTTCGAAGCTAATTTTACCAAACACTTTTATCATGTAAGCTAGTTTTTCAGCTATAAGTCATAAGCTATCAGCTATAAGCTCGAAATTCACTTAAAATGTTATAAGCTTGCTTATCACCTAGGTATACCAAACATAGCCAAAATGTAAATGTTTGCGATTATTTTAAGCATGCAATAAAGTTTCAAAATTTGATTTTCAACCTCATCAACTCGAACATTGTAGATTTGTATGGTGGCATCTTCCATTCCTATTGCAATAACATTATTGTCCTGTGGATGGAATGCCAGAAATGTGGCCGCTGGTGGAGGGGGCATAAAAGTAGTCATTGTCTGCAAAGAAAAAGATAATAAAAATTGTATACCGAAAAACCGAAAAAATTTTGAAGTTATCTAAAAATCTATAGTTGAGATGAGAAGAATGATGCATGTTGTTACCTTAAATGTCATCATATTGAATAGGGAAATTTTTCCTCCCGATGCCGACATAACATAGGAATCGTTCTTGGAGAGTGCGAAACACGGAACGGCTTCTTCAAGGTTGGTCTCACTTATATCGTTGGTCATTAAGATTCCACTTGAAGGTTGCCAAAGTTGTGGTGGAACAGAAGAAGTTGCCTATATTAATTAAATAAATAAACATATAACTTAAATTAACAAAAAAAAATGAATCGAACGGGAGATCATATGTAAAGGAAAAAAAAAATACTGAAACAACTCAAAGAGAAGGTTAATATAAATAACCTTTCCGCTAGCATTTCTCTCTGTCCGCTGCCATTTCCAAAGTTTGTGGACAGCATTGTATGCTAATGCCAAAATGGCACCTCCAGAATTTGTATAAATTAGCCGAATAATCTGGAAAATTTCGAGAGACTGGTCAAGTAATGGAAATAGCAACTAGCAGCAGGCAAAAAAAAAAAAAAAAAATGTACATTAAACTGAGAATGGACAACTCGATATGGCTGCAATTACAAGAACATGAAGCATCTGCCAATTAACAGGAAAAAAGAAAGTGTATAATTTTTTTAGCAAACTTTACCCTCACTGACAACAGACCATCAGGAAGCCTCAATGAACGCAGTTGAGATTGTTCATTAATTTCCGTGAGCTTCCAAATCTTGGATTTTTCCAACTCGTCAGAAATTCTTGATTTTGCGTCTTGTAAGTTCCTCGCATCCCCGTTCTATCACAAAGTTAGAGCAATTAGGGTGTGATTGGATATGGATTGAACTAGTTTTTGATTGGAAAATAATATTTAAAACAAAATAAATAAAGTTGATTTGATGTAAAAGTAGAAGAAAAATGATTGGAAGTGATGGTTAGTTAAAATTATGTGAGTGGATGAATAGTGAATTAAAGTTGATTGATGTGTAAGAATGATTGTTTGATATTATTTAACTATATTGATAATATGGAAGATAGTGGGGTTGGGTTAAAGTTGAGTTAAATTTGAGTTTTGATTGATTTTTTTACGGTAGAGTTTACATCCAATCACACCCTAAAATTTCCATATACAAACATATTAAAGTGAATTTCATACATTGTGACTCACCAATCCAATATTAACAGCCATTGGTGAACTTCTATCTGTGCTAGCACCAGTGCCTGCTGCTGCCGAACTCGAAGCACCAAAAGGGCCAAGAATAGCTGCCTGCAGAACAAAACAAAATTACTGATTTAAATTAATAAACCTGCTAAAATTATTGAATTAATAAATAAACCATGCTAAAAAATTTAAACCCGCTAGAAAACAGTCGACATCATCATCAACCTTCGCATTGGCTCCAGATCGACTTTCCATAGATCGCATCAAACGAACACCTTCAGGATTGGCGAGTATTTTAATACCATTCTCACTAGTCGACACAGCCAATAGGGACCCTTCCTTGCTGAACCGAATGCAAGGGGAAGCCTGAGAGATTTAACCAATTAAAGTCAATAAGAAAAAAAAAATCTCTCCTAAAAGAGGGGCATTGAGTGTAGAAGAAGAAGAAATTAGAATTAGATGTTTTTACCGGTAAACCACCATCGGCATCAATACTCATTAATAAATTTACATTGTCCATGTCCCAAAATTTAATCTTGAACTCATCACCAGCAACTAAAAAGCGATTCTTTGTGGTGTCAAATTGGACTACTCCAACTGAGCGTTTACTCACACCAAGATATGTCCTCTTAACAGCTCCTTCACTCTCATTCCACTCCACAATGAACGATTCCCCCTCTTTGCTCGTGCCACAGGAGAATAATCTATTTTTCATTAAAAAAAACAATTAATAGAAACCAAAAAGAAAGATATTTAAAAAAAAAAAAAAAAGGTTAATTAACTCGTGCAACTATACCTAGATCCATCAGCACTGTAGGCCATAGTGGTACAAGATCGACCTGGAGCATCATAATCCACTCTTGAACCCATATTATCATACAGCCAAGCTTTGATCTTTCCATCAACAGAGGTCGAGAAGATGAACTAAAACGGAGAGGAAAGAAAGATTTGAGTCTTCTTTCATAAACAAATAACTTGAAGTGTTTTTGGTAGACTTTAAGCTTAATATACCTGAATATTTTCCTTGAAATGTGGGCATACAGAATAAACAGGTGCCTCATGACCGTCAAAAGTGAACTGTTTTGTACCAGTGGCTACATCCCATACCTATGGAAAAAAACATAATTAGAGCTTCTTGCAAATACCACAACACTATTTTAATTTATAAAGAATACTGCAAATGGGCAAACCTTAATTGCCTTGTCCTCCCCACAGGTTATAACACACAATTGCTTGTTAGGATGAGAAAAGGCAAGATCGTTAACACTCCCAATATGTGCATCGATCTGAAAAAAAATAAAAAAATAAAATAAAAAATAAAATAAAAAACAGTTAAATTATCTAAGCACCACAGTATTTTATATTTCTGTTCAAAGAAAGGGAGATTATATAAAAGATCAAATATGTATATACAGCCAACACAAACCTCGCGGTGATTCCTTACAAGTGAACAGTGATCATCGCCTCCAAAAAAAGCATACAATTGAACAATGTGTTTTGAGTACGCAACACCTAAATCAGATTTTAAAAATATATTAAATGAACAAGGAAAAACAGAAGAAAAGGAATCAGAAACTACCACGTGTGTTTGAGCTTTTCAATAGACTGACAAAGGAAAAGGTGCAATTCCGAATTTCACACTCATAACAATCTCAAATAAGTAATGTCATGAAGTCCTTATACAAAACCATGAGGATATTTTGAGAATAATAATAATCAAGGCTGGTTAGTTGTTACATTGTAGAATCTTGCTCCGAAAATAGACACATTCTAACAGCAGATTTTTCAAGCAGCGCAATTGCCCGTTAAGGCTTCAGAGTGAATATTAATCTAATATAGCTGGGTCAAAAAAAAAAAAATCCAACACTGCCAGCTAAGACACAAATATTCAACATTTGCCACCTAACACCTTGCTCACTCACAGGTTCCTTTTTCTCATATTTGTACTTGAATTAACTCAAAAATTAGTAAATAATAAAACATACCAAAAAGATTTCCGTCAGGACTCCACATGACACGGTTCACGGATGCGGTGTATTCATTGGCCAAAGAAGCCTAAAAGCAAAACCCCAAAACTTATATGACTCAGGTATATTCATACTGCATTGGATAAGTGTAAATTTCTTAATATAAATACCAAAAAACCTGAAGATTCATCGTGCAAGCTCCAAGGTCCCACACTTTAAAATTTCTGACAATCAGCTTCTCCCCGCCACTCACGTCCCAGATAGAGATCTCACCGATATTAGTTCCCACTGAAAAGGGAGAAGAAGACAAAATTACAAAATTAATTATGTTATGTACACATTCATAAGTGTTCACACTTCAATTGCACATACTTCATTCATCAATGGGAGGAAAAAAAAAAACTATATTTCAAATAGTATAATCAACTAATAGATATAGAAATAATTAAAATAAAGATAACAAAAAAAAATTACAATAGTTGGAAGCAAACCTAGAAGTAGTGTCTGTTGAACCGGGTGAAAATCCATGGTTTTCACGGCAGAACCCTGATTCAAATTTGCCATAACTGTCTTAGGTAAGTCATCAGCAGCAGCAGTTTGCAAGGCATGGGCATGGCTCTGACCAGTATATGAGACAGGCAATATGTTGATTGGAAGATTGTTAGCCTACATGAACAATATGTACTTCAAATTTACAATTACAATTAGATAATCTAACAATTAACAGTGTTTAATACTTGCAAAACAATACGGTTTTGCCTAAAGTAGCTTACCTCTTCTGGAACACCAAAAGGTCTTGATCTCTTCAAGACATGTTCGGAATCTGCAGTTTGATAGTCCAGTGCTGGATTGTTAGTAGGAGGAGTCCTAGGACGCTTTATCATAGATGCTATCATAACATATTAGACACAAAAGACAAAAATTGAATTAGGCAAAAGAAGTCTTAGTCAAATCAGAAGAGGATACTATGTTAAGAAAACCAAAAGATAGTTTTTTTAAACCAAAAGGAAAAAGAAAAAGGATATTTTCCTCAAAAGAATTAACATACCACAACACTAAAACTCAACAAACATGAGAACAAAACGAACCTTATTTATTACAAACAAGCAACAAAAACGAAATGTTATTCAACTCGAAAGAACTAACATGAACATAAGAATAAAGCAAATTACCAGCATTATTAGGGGGAGTTAAGCCCATGGGTCCAATAGAAATGGCTGGATGAGAGACTGAGGATGGATTGGCCATCCATCCTGCAAGTGAATCCGTCAATTGGGCAGGGGCATGTGGAAATGGCTGTTAAATAAAGCAACACCAATAAATACATTGATTTTATATATATTTTTTTTTAAAAAAAAAAAAGAGAGAGAGAGAGAGAGAGAGACTTACTGCTGGGGCCCCCATTGGTGGGAACCCACCAACTTTAGGAATTGAACCCATCAACGGATTAGTGACAGGTGATGGAGCTCGAGCACCGTTTGGTTGCGAACAAGTGTGATCCACAAAGAGAGTTTTTATATCAGGGTTGGGTTTTGGATTCTTACAAAGTTGATGTTGCCAATTCAAACTGCAATGTCCAATTAGTAAGCATTACAATTTAATAAAATTATCAAACAAAAATGTAGCAGACGTATCATTTGCCTCTTCAGCATGTATACCACCTTTGGTTGATCAGTGTTCTCAATCTTGAGTTCTTCAAGCTAGGAAACTGAAGCTTATCACGAAATAGAGGATTTGCCTCGATCAGTTTCTTTAGCTCAACAAGCATTATAGCCCTGGCTGACTTAGTATCACCGTACTTTGATAGCTGATCATTTTCCCTGGCATGAAGAGTTTTCTGATCATAAGAATCAAATCGTTGAAAAACATTTTGAAAGATGAACTCAAATCAAGTTTTGGTTTTCTGATCATAAGAATCAAATCGTTGAAAAACATTTTGAAAGATGAACTCAAATCAAGTTTTGGTAATCGCATGATATATCCAGGGCATATATATGAAAGAGATGTGTAAGAAATTGTGCTGTTTATATAAACAACAGAATGAAGAAGAAAAAATATATATACTAATTTGAAATTGAGCAACAATATTGAATTCAATGACCAATTTAACCTCATCAGATATATCTGAAATAGCCATTTACCAATATGGCCACAGCCTGCAAACTTCATTGCAAATTTGATGATACTATCCTGAATGGCATTCATTATTGTTCGGATGAGACAATTTTTCGAAATTTCTCACTCATCACTCCAGAGCAGGAAAATGATAAAGGCCATTCATTCTATCGTCAGAACGAAACTAAACCAATCTCACATATCACCCAATCAACAATCTATTAATTCATTAAAAAAAAATAGAAGGAAGAAAAAGAAGATACCTAAAGTTTGGCAAGGTCAGGAGCATTGTGATTTCCTTAAAGAGATCCTCATTGAATGTAGAAAATATTTTCAGATCTTTCCTTAGAATCTCCACGGCCTTCGAATTGTCACGCCTGACGAACAAGTAAAAGCAAAATGCGGAGTTAGAACACCCAGAAAACTTAAAAATTGAAATGAAAAGGAAAAAAAAACAATCACCAACTCAACCAAATTAGGTAAATAAATCAAACCAAAAGCCTAAAAAATTCAATGCTCACTTGTCTAGTGCTTCGAGAAATTTCTGCTTTCTGAGCTCGAAGAAAATTTTCATGGAGTACCGGTTATCGTCGACCTTTGTAAACCCTGCCAGATACTTCTCCACATCCTCCCATTCCCCATTAGTCACTGCATCCTCAAAGTACCTCATGTTGAAGAAGAACCCTGACTCCTTCTCCAGTCTTAATAAAAA